ATACCTAATACCTAATCCCATGAAACCTTCGGGGGTGGACACATACTCACATAAGGATTAGTTGTTGAAAAATGTCCTACCCATATAAGCCCCCAAAAGAAGACATGGTCAAGGTGTCTGCAGGGGACCAGGCTAGACCTCAGAACCCTATCTCCTTCCCCAGACAGCAGGCTTGGATCACCATGAGATGCCCATTCAGGAGACACAGAGCAAGAGATGCATTCAGTAGAGAACCTGGTACACAGCAGGTGCTTAATAAATGTTTGTGGTAGCAGAAGCTGTAGGTTTGGGGCCAGAGCTCTGTCTCCTCTAAAAGGGAAGTCACTTATAAAAACCAGCCCTCTAGCCTCCATCCCTAGCCTGGAATCCCATGGATGTCTAAGCAAATCACTTTCACCTATTGCAGGAGCCAGAAGGTGCTGGGATCCTAGGGAGAGGCGTCAGGCAGCCCAGCTCTGCCTTTTGGGCAAGTTCTTTTCTCAGCCCAGACCTGTGTCCCCGGTGATAATGAGGGGGTTGGACAAGTCTAATGAATTCTTATCCTGACCACCTGCCTTTCTACCCGCTCCCTCACAAGCAGCTGTCCAGATTTATTACCTTCAATTAACCTCCACTGCTTTTTCCATTGCCTGGTCACCCCTTCCAAGTTGTTGGTAAGGGAGTTTAGGGGGAGCCAGAGCTATCCAGGTGTGGCTTGTGCCTTCTAGGCAGGGCTGGGGACGTAGCTAAGTTGCTATGTATGCATGAAGCCCTGGCTCCATCGCCAGCACCTCATGAACTAGACATGCTGGTCCACACCCATAATACCAGCACTAGGGAGGTGAAGGCAGGAGACCAGAAATTCAAGGTTATCCTTAACTGCATAGCTAGTTTGAAGCCATCCTGGGCAACATCAGACCCTATTTCAAAACGAAGCAAAGATCTTAGGAGGAGATTAATAATGATACCATAGTCAGCACTGGCAGCACAGAGCCAGATGGTGCCTTGTGTGATATACATACAGCGGATGAAGTTACCGAATCTGGTCAACCCATTTTTCAGATGGGAAGAGCAAGGTTAAGTTCCTTGCCCAAGATCACACAGAAAGCGGTTGATGGAGCTCTGGTGTTTGATCACTGGGTTCCAAGGACAGGGAGGTAGCCAGGATCTTTCTCCCAGCTCCAAAAGCACCCGAGGCTTCCCCATAATCCGTGCGCAAGTGCAAAAGCGCTTGGGGAGGATGGGGTTTGGAAAAAGCTAGCAGGGATGGAGGGAGCCCGGCGGGCCTGGCAGCAGCCCTCACGTGCCCCTCTACCCGCAGACGTGTCGGAATACAGCTGCCGCGAGTTGCACTTCACCCGCTACGTGGCCGACGGGCCGTGCCGCAGCGCCAAGCCGGTCACCGAGCTGGTGTGCTCCGGCCAGTGCGGCCCGACGCGCCTGCTGCCCAACTCCATCGGCCGTGGGAAGTGGTGGCGCCCCAGCGGGCCCGACTTCCGCTGCATCCCCGACCGCTACCGCGCACAGCGCGTGCAGATGCTGTGTCCCGGCGGCGCCGCACCGCGCGCGCGCAAGGTGCGCCTGGTGGCTTCGTGCAAGTGCAAGCGCCTCACCCGCTTCCACAACCAGTCGGAGCTCAAGGACTTCGGGCCAGAGACAGCGCGGCCGCAGAAGGGCCGTAAACCACGGCCTCGCACCCGCGGTGCCAAAGCCAACCAGGCGGAGCTGGAGAACGCCTACTAGAGCCTCCGCAGCCCGCGCCGCCACCCCAAACGCCTGATCCTGCCCCTGCACCTGGCTTGACTGCATTTTCATTTTAAAGGTGTGCAACCCAGGCCAGGGGCGCCAAACTTTCCAGGCCGTGCGGGTCATAGACACCGGACCACTTAAAGGCCACCTACCTTCGCTAAGGAGACGGCCGGGGTAGCAGCGCTTCCACCCCGGGGGTGGGGGGATGGGGGTAGGAATGTGAAAGGGCCAGGGACTGGTCCAGGAAGTTCTGTAAGATCCCCCTCCACCCCATCCTAAAGCCCCCCCCCCCAGGCTCTGCCACTGAGTTGCAGTGTGAGGTTGGGCTGTGTGACTCTGTTAGGACTTCAGTACCTTCTTTTGTAAAATGGGACTGAGGATGGGATTAGGATTTCCCGGACTGCTGTGATTCCAATGATTGGGGTGCCTGTTGAATGGACAGGTGGAGAAAGGTGGGAAGGAAGGGGAGAGAAACTCCTAAAAGGAGTTTGATTCCCAGTCTGGCCTCCCCAGCTGTTTAGCTACTTCCAACCCTCCAATCTCAAAGAAATAATGCCATCAACTGGGGTAGAGCGGGAGAGAGTACAGGGGGTGGGGGGTGGGGAGTGGAAGGGACAGAAATCGTACCCCACCCCATTTCCAAAAGATCAGTGCCCCACCTCCACCTCCTTGCCATACTTTGAAGTGATTTTCTGCAGAAAAGTTCAAGGTCTGAGGAAACTGGGCTAGCAGCCACCTCCATCAGACACCAGCAAGTGTTTTCCAAGGCACCTCCTCCTGCTTGCCACCCACTGACATAGCTCCCTCCTGCTCTTCTATGTGATGGCATATCTTATATTACAAGGATAATGCTGGGGGAGGGGCAAGGGAGATTATATATATATGGGACACATACCCCATTCCCATCTCTCCAGGGGTTCTCATAGGCAGGATGAGACGGCCTGATGATTTAAGGTACCCAAAGAAAATTTAGGGGCTGGAGAGATGACATAGCTGCCACCCACAAATCTTTCTGAAAATCATTTCCAGACACCTCTTACTTTCTGTTTAGATCTTGTTAAGGGGGTTTGAGGGGGCAATACAACAGAAGCGCCATGGAGCAGGAAAGCCCTTGGGGCTGGTGGGTTTGGGAATGCTGTGTGGAACTCATTCACAAGAATGAAAGCCAAGGTTTTTAAAGAGTTAAGTGACCTATTTATTTTCTCATTTAAGTTATTTATGCAAACGTTTTACTTGTAGGAAGATGATGTTAATATTGCTTTATGAAGTACAGTGTGTTCTTTCAGCCACCAGAGGCATTGTTAATAAAGACGATGAGTCGTGACCAGGAGGATGTGGTCTTATTTTGTCAACCACACACAATGTCATTTCTGTCAGCTAACACCCTTCTCTCGATCACAAGGCCCAGACCTTGAAGACACCTTTGAGTGCTCTCTGGTGGCCCTTGTGTTAATTATGTGCTTCCTTTGAAAAATCATGTTCCTGTTTTCCTTTCCAAGCCTCCGTACACCATTCCCTCACTGGGTCAATGCCATAACCTCAGCCTGGTCTCCTTTAGTGGACTGCCCTCCACATGGTCTTCCAAAAATGCTCTTCTCCCCTGTCACTCTCCAACTCAAGATCGTTCCATAGCCCATGATCATTCTGATATCAACTTTCTTCACTTTGATTCCTGTCTGCCACTCTGCCAAGCCTCCTTAACTGACTACGAAGACCCATTGATCCCTGCCGCCCTCATTTGCTAACCCCATTTGTCCCCCAAGTTCCTCCCTGTTCTTTAGGGTTCATGGGAACTTGTCGCCTGTTCCCTGAACCTTCTAGAGATGTTCCAGTCTTTAGTGAGCCCTCTTTTTCTGATGTCCCATACCGTTACTTTGATTCCTAATTCTAGGTCTTCCCTTAGACTCTCGTTCACAGAATACCTGTCTAGCCCATCTGAGCCCTGGTTAGTACTGGGATAAACACAAAGCCAAGTACAATTCAGGACCAGCTCATTGGGACTTGGGTCAAGCTTTTCCAAAATGTGAATTTTCTACATATACCCTTCCCCCACCCTTCCCAGTGAAAGTGTAAGCTCTTCAAAAGCATGCTGGCCCTTCAATCAATGTCAGGTCTCCTGAAAATACTTGATAGTGCTGCACGCCAGCTGGAACTCAACAGCTGCTTCTTGGTTGCCATGAGGAGGAACAGGACTGGTGTGGCCACACATGCCTGTAATCCCAGCACTTGGAAGGTGGAGGAAAGAGGATTAGGAGTTCAAGGCTATCCTGGACTACATGAAAGCCTGTCTTAACACCCACCCCCACCTGAAAAATAAAAGGGTATACATAACTTCATTTAAATCAAGTACAGTGTATCTTGGGGTAGGAGGGAATCCTAACCCTGAAGTAAGTTTTAGTCCTTCTTGATTTTTTTGAGACAGGGTCTCACTGTGTAATCCTGACTAGCCTGGAACTCAATATGTAGACCAGGATGGCCTTGAACACACAGAGATCTAGAGATCTGCCTACTTCTGCCTCCCAAATGCTGGGACTAAAAGTGTGCATCACCATGCCCACCTTGTTTTTTTGTTGTTGGTGGTGGTGGGGTGTGTATGTGTATGCACAGATAATCAAACCCAGGACTTTGTGTCTCCTAGGCAAGCTCTCTATCATTGATCTTTATCCCCAGCCTATAGGGGCTTTTTCTTTTAATTCACAATGAATTCCCTTAAATTTGTTGTCATCATCAAATCTTTGACAAGTGTCGTTGTATGCTGTTGGCCACTCCCTTCCCATGGTTCTAGGTCTGATGGAGAATCCTTCAGAGATTCCAGGCATCCCAAGGAGTGTCCCAGAGCAGGGGACCAATGGACTCCTTGACCAGCACCCTGAGGCAGTACGATACAGTGTGACTCTGGAGCCAGGCTTGTGTTTGAATCTGTGGAGTCTAAGGAACCCAGGGTTAAATGCTTTCCCTACAACCAGCCTGGGCTCAGTTCCTAGACCTAGCACCCACTCAGCTGCTCAAGCCCAGTGGGCATATGGGTGAAGAATCAGGTCATCCTTCTCTGGACTAAGTGTAATTTGAAACCGGACAGGAAGAGTTGGCTCTGTGGTGCCCCAAGGGACAGTGGTTAAGGGTGCACAGAAGAGGGGGCTGCTGGAAGCTTATCAGAAGAAAAGGGGTCCTAGACCTTCTAAACAGAGCTCCAGCCCATGCAAAGGTACTGCGGCTATGCCTAGCTGCCTGTGGCTGCAGGAAAGCTCATCCATCATTCCTCAATATGCCTATGTGTTCCCAGCACACACCAAGCCTAGAGGGGGGACCAGAGATTCTAGGTGATGGTCAAACCGTGGCACCCCTAGCTAGAGCTTGCTTTCTGGGACTGGGAAATGCAGGAGAAATCAGCTCAGTCTATGGTCCCATTACCATGAGGAAAAAAGGAAAAAAAGAAAGGCTAAATTGTAAAATTGTAGGTCAGGTTAGAGATTATTTATGGAAAGTTATATTCTACCTCCATGGGGTCTATGAGGCTGGCGCCGATCAGAAAGAACAAACAACAGGCTGGGCTGAGCCATGAGGAGTGGCATTTTGCTGTGGGGAGCACGTGTGCTTGGGATGCAGCCAGACACAGGCTTGTATTAGTCTGAGAGTCAGACAGAAGAACAGAAGGAAATCTCTCTCGTGTTCTCTCTCTTTCTCTCTCGCTCGCTCTCTCTCACACACACACCACTCATTGACTCACTCCAGGAGGCTCTACCTATATTCCAAGAACAAACCATGCCACCTTCATGAAAAGAGACAAAGCCACAAAAACTCGGAAGGAGTCACAGGACACCCTACAGCCATTTTCCCTGAAGCAGATGCCGGACCCCACACTCACCCTCTCCCACCTGTTCCCGGACCCTGTTCCCTGATCACCGATGACAGTGCCAGGGCCTACCTCATTCTTGGAACATACCCTGGTCTCCTCCCTATCTAAGGACATGCAAGATCTCAGGTCTCTAGAAGCTTACACCAGGGTCTGGGGTTCTTTCTGTGGCTATAGGGCAGGAGACAGGGGAAGAGTTCCTCTTAGTCAATAAGACCACCCATATGCCTGGTGGTATGAGGGAGGGGCAGGGTAGTCCCCAATGATATCTGTGGCCCAGTGTAATTATTAACAGCTCTACTTTTACTCTAAAAAATAAAGTTCCAATTTGGGGCAATAGACATGTGCCTCCTGCCATGGGATGGCTGAGGTCTGGGTGTTCTGTCTAGGGAGCTCTCCCTGCCTGCCTGTAAATGCCTGTCCATCCTTCAGTCTCAGACAGGCATTACTTCCTTGACCAATCAGACCAGTCCAAAGCCCTTGGATTTATCTTTAATAAAGAACAGTCCCTTCTTTGGCATGCTTGTCTCAGTTGAGAAATCATATTTTTATTCATGTATACATTTAATAAATCTTTTTCCCTCCTAGGCTATAAGACACAGGAGAGCTGAGGGACTCTGGTATATCTATACATTTGAACACATCTAGGACCCAGTATACAGTAGATGCCTAATGTGTGTTGTGATTATACATTTGCTGCTGGATAATTGGTTGGATGGAATGGGATGGGATGTGTGCGTGATGATGGAGGAAGCAGAGAGTGTGTGACTTATGGGAAAAGAGGGTGCTTACCCAGAATACCACTGTGTGGGTGCACTCATGTGTGTATGTGTATACGTGTGCAGAAGTGTGCGCCTGTGTGTGGAGGCCAGAGGACAGCCTCAGGTGGTGTTTCTCGAGTCTTGTCCACCTTCTTTATTTTTATTTTTGAGATAGAGTCTCTCACTGGCCTGGAATTTACCAAGTAAACTAGGCAAGAAATTATTTCACAACTGGAACAACAGCTCCCCGAGGAAAGGTAAGAAGCTGGGCTAAGCAGTACTGAAGGGAGCTCCAAATGACATCCTGTTCTCTGTGTGCCCTGACTTCCTTACTGCTGTCTATGCACAGGATTCCTCATTTCTCTATAGTCATCTAGGGAGTCCAAGCTCGGGTCTTGTCCACTAAGAAGACAGAACTGGCAATAGGCAGGTTCCAGCAATAGGTGCCCATAAGGGTCAGAAAGGAATGAGGAAGGAG